GTCCCTCCTCCCTCGTCCCTGTCCCTCGTCCCTGTCCCCTGTCCCTGTCCCTGCTCCCTGCTCCCTGCTCCCTGCTCCCTGCTCCCTGCTCCCTGCTCCCTGCTCCCTGCTCCCTGCTCCCTGCTCCCTGCTCCCTCCTCCCTCCTCCCTGTCCCTCTCCCTCCTTTCCTCCTGACCTACTCTACATTCTTTTGAAGAGAGGGTGGGGGTCATCCCTGCTAGCATTTGGTCATAGCTTGGAATGTACCTGGGGTACACTCATAGAAATTTATTAAGGGTAGGGGTAGGAATGATGGAATGAACATATAGAGGGTGGGTACTTCGCATGCAGAGGTGGGGTAGAAATGTGACAGTGGTGGTAAGGGTCCCTTAATCACGGGTCCTTTCATAAGAAAATCATTGGGTAATTAAGGGTGGGGTAAGCAGAGGGTGGGTGGAGGTACCCTTACTGGATAGGAGCAATTTCAACTTCTTAGGTTATTGACTACAGGGCCATTCCTCCGTAGTAAATGTTGACTATAAACACCAAATATTGACTATGAGCATCCAGTTGTCAACTTCGACAGCGAACGGCATGCAGCATACCGACGCACCAGCAGCAGCGGCATCGTCCCCTCCTCGCCCTCACGCTATCCCTCCTTGTCAACCTCGAACAAGTCCATCCAAGGGTTCTCCTCCCAATTCTTCCTCGGGGAGTCCTCCACCCCCCCCTCCTCCTCCTCACGATTGTCCTGTTGTACCTGCTTCTCTTTGTTCCACACCGCTTCCTCTCCAATTGTTTCCTTCGTCTCCAGATCCTGCCTCCCCAGACAGTGAGTTAGATTCCCCCCGCTCCCTTCCTTCTGTTACTTCCTCCTTTTCCCCTCCCTCTCCCCCCCGTGATGTCACCCTCTCTCGCTCATCCTCTCCAAATGCTCCTTCACCTTTTCACCCTGCATCCACTCAAGCTCATCTTGCCCATATCCTGAACCCAGTAGACTGCCCCCTTCCTCGACTCGCCTCTGTCATCTATCCACTTGCTGATCAAAACAAAGTCCGTCCCTGGCAAGCTGGCACGACTCATGTCTTCAGTTCCAAGGGCGAGAGCAGCACGCATGAGAAATGTATCGCTCAGAAGCAGCAAGGAGACGAGGAGGAGGCTGGTGGTGCCCGCTGGGACGCCGACGCCCGACGCCGCCATAGCCGCGCATGCTCCGGCAAGACCCGCCTCTCCATCCAGGAGAAGCTCGACATCATCTACATGTACTACCTATCCGAAGCTTCGCCGTCGAGTAGCAGGAGGATAGTCAACCAGTGGGACATCGCGCACGTTTTCGGGAAGAGCGGGGCGGCGATCAGCAAGCTGCTGAAGGCAGAGAACGCGCTGAAGGTGATGACGACAACGATCGAGGGGAAGATGGCGAAGAATCGCAGGAAGATTATCAAGAGCATCAAGGAGGAGGTCAGACGCAAGAAGGCGGCGGCAGCTCCGACCAAGAAGGCCTGAGCTTGTCCGATCAGGTCACCTTGGGAACCTCGTCACACGCCGAATAGTGCCAGTGTAACTTACCGCAGTATATAAACCACTGTATGGTCAAGTTACCCATCTCGGATGGTTGGACTCCGACCGGCGTGCCGCTGACAGTGACCGTACTCTGGCGGCCTGCCGGGGCCGCACTGGCCACCCGTGGTGGCTGCGGCACCGGCGTCACTGAGCGGCGCGGCCGTGACTGAGTGAGGCTTGGCGGCCCGGGCCGCCTTGGCGGGGGCCGCGCGGCGCTGCTCAGTGCACCGTGGTCGGGCGTCAGCCGCGGCACTGATCCACTGTTAACTGAAAGATTCGGTACAAGGTATTTCAACGTACCTGGTTCTCCTGAGATTGTCCTCGTACTGATTCTAACTTAACTTTGAGTAAAGAGAACCTGGTACTGATTGGTGCGGTCACACGCTTGTCAACTTCGTCCGCCTCTTGCTATCCATGGACAGCTCGTGCCCTGGCTCGAGCCATGCAGCGTCTCCCTCGCATCTCGCCCACATCCTCAACGCCTTTGACTCTCCTCCCCCCCCCTTCTCCTTCTCCCCTCCAGCTCATCCCTGCAGCTCCTGCCCCTCCTCTGATCGAACGATTGAGTATCATCAAGACTCCAAAGCCGCCGCAGCCCGCTGGGACGCCGACGCCCGACGCCGCCATAGCCGCGCATGCTCCGGCAAGACCCGCCTCTCCATCCAGGACAAGATCGACATCATCAGCCTCTACTACCTGTCCGACGTCTCGCCGCTGAGCAGCCGGAGGGCGGTACACCAGTGGGACCTGGCGGCGAGGTACGGGAAGAGCCGGGCGGCGATCAGCAAGCTGCTGAAGCCGGAGTACGCGAGGAAGGTGATCGCGTCTGCAGAAGGAGGGAGGATCAAGAACAGGTCGATGATTCTACAGAGTATCGGGGAGGAGGCGGAGAGGAAGAGCAGTGAGGAGGGAGGGGGGGAACAGTAGCAGCAGCACGATGAAAATGCAAGTCAACGGCCATACTTCTCTCAGTTGGGCAAGAATGCTCAATATGCAGAACAGTTGGTGTTTTTCGACAAGACAGATTTATTCACAATGTTAAATAAATGAAAACTCAGATCTCTTCCCTCTGTTGTCAATGCTCGAATTTTCGACATGTTGGAACACATTGCAAATCCTCTATCACTTCCATTCGCAACTGAGCACAAGCCCAACCGAAGGTGCGATGAAGACTACTACAATAAGTCCGTACATCTAGCACTTTTGTCAAACTTGAATGGCAGGACGAAGATGTGCCTCCGAGGAACGATGGAGAAAGTATTCCTTCAGAGAATCTTTCGGGACGTCATTTATTTGATCATAAACATGATATCATTAAAAGTTAACGTCCACCATGTTCTCCGACTTTAAGGATGAAAATTGTTGTCAGGATGACTACCCATCATTCTCACGGAAGGATGAGATGGAATACTTTCACAAGCAGGCAGGCAGGCAGGCAGGCAGAGAAAATGCACAGACAAAGGCAGAGTGCGTTCAGGATGGATGACATGAAAGAGAAAAATTGTGACATAGTGTACAACATCAAGATCCAATGAGGTGGCTCTATCACATTTTCAACCTTGTGCTCCTGATTCTCAGACCGGCTGTGTATGGCTTGCTATGATAGAAGGTTTCATAGCATGTCCCTTTTCGACATAATCTTGGCAACAACTACAACCTAACAAGGCAGCGGCGCGATTGAACTCTTAATCCGCAGCTGTTTCACTGAGAAGAGCACAAGCACTTGATCACATCCAGCTTTACATTGACCCTGAGCTCCTTCTAGTGGTTGTTTATGACATGGCTGTAGCTTTTCTCTGCTGGTGGAACAATGCATGACCAGAAGGTGAAGAGTAAGTAAGGGAATAAAGGGAGAAGAGGTAGCGAATGATGAAGGCGTAGGGAAAAGAGAAAACGTGAAAAGGCAGAGTGGAGGTAGCAAAAGAGAAGGTAGCAAGAGGAGAAGTAGAGACAGCGCAGAGTAGGGAGGATAGGGAGGAGAGCCAGGACAAGAAGAATCATGAGTGGGAGACAAAGTTGAGAGAGGTGCGAAGGAACGAGAGGATGAGGTCGGAAAAGGAGGAGCAGCGAGGGTTATCGATGATTCATCCCTCTTCCTCCTCCCTCTCCTCCTGGTTCTTCCTTTCCTCCCTCCCATATCGCCCAGCCATAGCTTTCCTAAACAGCATATCCCGCTGATACTCTTCCTGTTCCTCCTTCTTCCTGCTCCTCCTTTTTCCTGTTCCTTCCTCTTCCTGCCCCACCCCTCCTCCTGCCGCCTATTTTCACAGCATTTTTGGTTCCCCTAGGGGATTTCTTTTTTCCTTCTGGCCGGGCTCTTTTTCCGGTCACTCGGAGCTCCGGTGTCGACGGGTGCACCCAATTTCAACGACAAATTTTCAAATGCAATTAGAATCTTTCAAACATTTTCGGGCTGTGAAAAATGATTTTTCACTTTTGACTTTCAGGCCGTGGGTGTGGGTACCCACCCCTGTATTTAGGGGTGGGTGATAATATAGTATGTGGGTGGGTGATAAAGGTGAACAATTTCGGATATTCGGGGTAGGGGTAGTAGGGGCCGTAAAGAATTCGTTTCGAACGCAATTAACTTTTGGGTAGTTAAACTATTAACTAAAAGACAACGGTCCCAACCCTGTCATCACCCCTACGTACTCATGCACCCTGACAATCATGACCCCTACCGCACCTTATACTATTTACTACCCTACCAAATATCTGTCTACGACTACTATAAGAGATGTATCACCCACCCAAGTTTCACTCCACCCCTCCATCTTCCAAAAGTGACTAATAATCAGACTTTTAGCACTACCCCACCCTTGGAACTGACCCCTGCCATAACAACCCCTTTCACCCCCTACGTCCGGTCCCCAAGTGTACCCCTACCCTGGTAATTTCAATGTTTACAACCAGCTTACTAGATTTAAATCACCCTACCCATCAAGGAATGCACCTCTCTCACAAAAATACCCCGGTAAATCATAATAATGTACCCCACCAAATTCCAAACTTCACCGAATCTTCCGCACCCTACCCCTGTCTGCCTGGCACTCTCCCTGGCTTATCCCCACCCCCCACCCCCTCAGAAACTCACACCCACCCATGTCAGCCGCTGCACGTCCCTTCCTCTACGCTTGTCGCCTCCTGCCCCCTCCCCCCCCCCCCCCTTCCTCCTCCTCCTCTTCCTCCTCCTCCTTCTCGCCCCCGCCCCTCCTCACCCGATCCTTGCTGAGAGTTATCTCACACAACTCCTCTTCCTCCTTCTTCCCCTCTGTTCATTCGCTCCCCCGCCTCTTGTCTGAATTTCTGCTAAGGTTTGCTGTACATCATGAGCCCAGCCTCCCCATCAATATGCCCCGCACATCTCGCGCATATCCTCAACCCTGTTGACTTCCGGCTTCCGAGCATCTTCTTGCCTCCTTCAGCAGAAGCTTCCACCCGACACACAGAAGCTGAAGTCGCTCTTGCCCTTTCAAGCGACGCTGGCTTTGCGTTCCCACAGGCACCTCAATCTCCCCAGGACAACGATGCGGCCGCCGCAGCCCGCTGGGACGCCGACGCCCGACGCCGCCATAGCCGCGCATGCTCCGGCAAGACCCGCCTCTCCATCCAGGAGAAGCTCGACATCATCTGCCTCTACTACTCCTCGGACGCAATGCCGTCCAGCAGCCGCAGGGCGGTACACCAGTGGGACATTGCGCTCAGATATGGAAAGAGCCGGGCGGCGATCAGCAAGCTGCTGAAGCCGGAGCATGCGAGGAAGGTGATCGCGTCTGCAGAAGGAGGGAGGATCAAGAACAGGTCGATGATTCTACAGAGTATCAGGGAGGAAGCGGAGAGGAAGAGTAGAAGTGAGGAGGGAGGAGTGTGAGGAATTGAAGTCGTGTTGTTTGAAATTCCCTCCATGGATTCCAGAATTTAATCTGTTGGTTAACTACACAGACAGAGGGAGCAAGATGGCTGAGAGAGATTCGCGTACATGACGAATAATTTTTAATGAACACTTGAATACACGTTGTAAATCTTGTTCTCCCTTGGAAAATTGTGTATTGCGTAGGAAATTCTAAAAATATTCACATCACAAAGGAACGGGATTCAGCACATGACTGCAATGCCTTGTGTTCTCAGTGTACGGAATGATACACGTCAAGCGCAGCAAGTCAAAGTGGTTCAGCAGTTTAATACCACTGTTAACTTTCGCAAGCTTGCTGATCAAAACCGTGATTATCACATGTTGTCTTTCAAAGCTTGTTTTGTTTCCTCCCTGTTCTCCAATCTGTTCATCTCAGAACAAGATTGACTGTTCGGAGCTCAGCATTCTCTAACCACGAAGGGCCGTAGCTTTCACAATCCCATCCGATATGGGCCTGCGATGCAAGTGTGACAAGCGTGCATCGATCATGTACAATCTGTTGACGCCACGTGGAGATGATTGTTATCTTACAGCAGATGTTGAGCAGGGAAGAGAAGGAAGCAGAGGAGATTTGCATGGGTGGGAAGACACGTGCAAGGCAAGCAGGCAGTTCTGGAGGGGAACAAGGGCGAGAGTGAACAGACCTCAAACATTCTCTGAAAGAAAGAGCTGTGGCCAACAAACAGAATCTCCCTCTCCTCTCTCCCCGCTGCGTCAAACCAACGGAGTCAACATGAAATCTGTTGATATCTGCAGGAAGAGCGTGGTCCTCACCAATGAAACTCAACGTCTCCTGGATTCTGCTATCTAGCTCCTCGTTGGTCTCACGTCGATCAAAGCTCCCTCCCAATCTGAAGGATTCTCAGCTATGCATAACCCAACGGATGTTACATGTTCGACATGAACTTATCTTCTCCCTCAGGCACAGCAGAGAAGTCAACCTGGTCAAGAACTCCATGAGCGCGCGAGGTCCATCAGGAATCACATGAAGCTGCCATCACATCCGGGTACTCGGCTTGCAGAATCTCTCTTGATCTCCTGCTATCGCACGGGTGAAGTCCTACAATCAAGTCTTGAGGGAGGAGCAGCGGAGGGGTAGAAACGAAACCTTTCCGCTCCCTCGCCGTCTCCAGCGCGACGATGCGAGTATGCTCAGGAACCCGCAGGCCCAACTTGAGCGTTTGCAGCGCCCTTGTCAACGGCGAGATGATCACGAGCGAATAGCTGATATCCTTCGAGCTTGCGAGCAGATCGTTCTAGAAAGACGCGAAATTCAGAGCGCTTCCTCGCTTGCAAGCACAAACTCACGCACTGCTCCTCTCCTTCCGGTGACAATCTTGCATCAAACCACCGCGGGTCATCGTATGCCTTGTTAGGTGCCATGTTAGCGCACCATGATCAGGTTCCTTACGTCCTCTTCACCGCATTCCTTGCCTCCCCCTCCAGCCCCTTGGCGGCTTGGTTTGAAGTTGCCTCAGCATGCCTGGAGGATCATAGGGAGAAAGCAACTTGTCACACTTGGTACAAGATACATAGCTAGGATGGTTGGTGGTGAAACTCAAGGAGGAAATCCTCTAAGAGAATACAACTAACGTACAACAGTGACAGCTTGAAGAAAGTGGCACGATTGCTAGCGGACAGATTGATGTTGTGACTTGGACACGAGATCAAACATCTTGAAGACAACCTCCGATGGCTCATGACGAAGTATTGTCGCGTTCTTACCTCACAAAGTGAACGGTTTTGCATCTTGTAAGCGGGAAGGAATATTTCACGACGGAAGCCATTGGCGATCCTGGTGAGAAAATGTGGCACAGTGTGAGGATGAGGACGGTTGTCGTTCGAGCTCGGGGAGGATGCATATTGTACATAGATATCGTTCAGTACCTCGATCTTGTACTGGTTCGCGCTCTTGGTACCTAGCAAGGTACCACGATACGTTGCTGGTACGAACGATCCGTACCAATCACCTGTACCTCAAGATTCCCCCCGCTCCACCACAAAAAAGAATTTGTATTGGTACCGGTGCTAGAGAGAATCCAAAGTGGAGAATGGGGTGATAATCTAAGAAATTATCTGGATAATGAGGGGTGGGGTAATTACCCTACCCTCACATTTGATGAATATAATTGTTAAGTAAAGAACTGTCGTCCTTTCGTTCCTCGGCGGCGGACAACATGGCGGGAATAGAAGGGCACGAGGCAGGGGCTGCCGATGGGGAGGGGAAAATGAGGGGGAGGAGGGGGAGGACGAAGGGGAAGAGGAGGAGGAGGAGCAGGAGGAGCAGGAGGAAGAGCTATGGAGAGAGATAGCGGGAGGAAGAGAAGAAGGGATGGCGGGTGTGTAAATGGTGGCGGGATGTGCAGGGATGGGCAGAGTGATGGTTGAGCAGGGAGGAGGGAGGAGGGAGGAGGGAGGAGGGAGCAGGGAGCAGGGAGCAGGGAGCAGGGAGCAGGGAGCAGGGAGCAGGGAGCAGGGAGCAGGGATGAGACCGCGATTGTATCAAGAGAGGAGGGCAACGTGTCGAGATATGACAGTGACGAGAAAGGAAGGTGCAGGGGGGAGAGCGATAAGGTGTTTCCGAAGCAGGAAGAGGAGGAATTCGCAAGGAGCAAGAAAGAAGGGGATGGGAATGAACAGTCAGAAGAGGGAAGAGATGAGGATAGGTGGAGAGGAAGGGAGCGATCGAAGGGGAATGCCAGTGGAGAAGTGTATACTGGTTGAGGGGAGGAATCAAGAGAGGTTGCCTGTTTACAAGCAGGCAATCGCAACAGATGAGAGAGGTAGAGGAGGAGATGAGAAGTATGGACAAGCTCTTCAGGGGAGTGAGGATGAAAGGGAGAAAGGTGATGTGGATGCACATAGCGAAGGGGCTGCGAAAGGACGGAGTAATTTTGTGAGAGATAGTGACCATTGCATATCTTCTGGATTGATGATAGTTTTGTTCTTGCGATGATGTTGTTGTTGTACAGTCATGACCTGATGACATCATCTACAGTGATGGCCTGATCATCTCGCTCCTTTGGACCCAGACATCCAAGTACCAATCACGACGATCTTACATGAGGTTTTGAATACTCTTCCCTCTACCCCCCCCTATAGATATCTGGAACAGTGACATCATTCTCTTGTTGATGAGACATCTCTACATCCATGGTTTAACAAGCTTTCGTGCTCTTGACGAACGATTATGAACTATCAGATTGAGAGCAGGAGGGGAATGGGTTTTGTCGACTCCCACAACCTACCAGACAGAGGCCCGGGTCTGACGGCCCTCCCGCTCGCCTGCAACGTGAGCTGTGATGATCAAGACGTCGCTGGTGGACTGTCTAGGAAGCTTGTCGCAAAGGCAGACGAGGAAGGGATACAGCTGAGCCCAGAGGCGAGCGACACGACGTTGAGTTGTGAAGATCTGGAAATGTCCGAGATTCATGGGCCCGAGGGTGGGAGCAGCAGGAGAAAGTCGCATGTAGAGAATGACTCGGCGCAGCTGGTCGATGACAGCGCGAAGAAGGCTGCTGTTGACACGTGCAACGGAGGTAAACGGAAGGCGGCGGCGTCAAACAAGCGGGGGTCTGAGGGTGAACGGCAATTTAGCAGCGATGAAATTCAAGATAAGGTTGATGGGATGATCCAGCACTTGAGTGCTGGCAGCCTCGAGGTCGTTCAGGAATCCCAAGAGACTCAACATAGTGAGGAGACCGAGAGACCGGAGGAGCAGGAGCAGGAGCAGGAGCAAGAGCAAGAGCAAGAGCAGGGGCAAGAGCAGGATCAGGGGCAGGGGCAGGAGCAGGAGCAGGGGCAGGGGCAGAGGCAGGGGCATGAGCAGGAGCAGGAGCAAGAACAGGAGCCTGGAGTGTCGCAGAACGATGGCTCTGGTGAGGCCGGCAATGGTGCCAAGAATGCTTCGATGGATGAAGTGCAGCAGAAAGGAAAGATAGTGGAGGTTTCAGAAGAGATCGTGGATCAGAATCAGAACCCACAGGCTGCCCAGCACGAACATTGGAAGGGCGAGACGCAGGACGTGCCGGAGGACGCGAGCGACTGCGCAACGACTCGAGCAGAGGCAGCTGCTGGACCCCGCGAGCAAGCTCCGAGGCGCCTGACGGAGGAGCACGACAAGCATGACTTCCCTCCTGCGATAGGGCAGAAGATTGACATGAGCTGCTTCGGAGGGAGCGAGGCCGACCTGAGCAGGTCAGAGCGGCTGGTCCACCCTGTGCTGGTCCAAGGGAGTGCCGGACTCGGGAAGAACGATGAATGTCTATGCCTGGACCCAAGGGATGGTCAGCAGTGGTTGGCGACTATCATGGAGATGAACAAGAACTATGCCAAGGTCCACTACAAAGGCTGGAGCAAGAGCTGCGACGACTGGGTGACAGTCGACAAGATCTCGCCGAAGCCCTCCAACGAGGTGCTGGAGAGGATCAAGCTTTACAACGAGCACTCGAAGCTCATGTCAGGGAACTCGAAGCTGCAGCAGGGCCAGGGGAAGGTGTCAGACGCGCGTCAAAGTGACGGCAAGGCAAGTGCTGAGGAGGAGAAGCTTGAAAGTTCCCAGCAGGTCCCCAGCAACGTCTGCCGAAGTCGTGTGAAGGGGGTCGAGCTTTGCACGAAACCTTGCAAGGAGTACCCCCGTGGCCAGTGGAGGGTAGTCAAGATACAGGAGAAAGAGAGGATGTTCGTGGGGACGTACAGCTCCAAGGAGGAGGCGGTGCGGGTGAAAGCGCAGCAGCGGGAGGAGGACGGCGAGGAGGTCAGTCCAGCCAGCTCATCCTTGCGCTGTGTTGATGAGGAGGGGACGGAGGCGGCAGCGAGCCTCCTTGGAGCTAAGGTTACCCTGGACTCCAAGAGGTCGACACAGACTACTGGCAGGGTGACCGCATGGATCAGCTCCAAGAACTTGTTCCAGATCAGGATGGACAACAAGGCAAGGACCGTGCATCATCTCCCGATCCCCAGCAAGCACCTGACCGTCGTGTCAAAGTGCCCGGAGGCCCCGGCGGCGATCTCCGAGGACGAGATCCTCCGTCCCCTGGGCCAGCTGGAGGAGGTGCAGAGCCTTTGTGACGGGTTTTCGCACCGGAATTTCATCGGCTCCTTCGGGCTGGACCTGGCGAGGATGCGGGCGCTGGTGCGACTGTGCCTGGGGCAGGGGATCCTGATCAGCCCATTCATCACCCATGCGCCGGTCGATGACGTCATCATGGCCTTACACAAGTGCCTGGAGAGCGGGGGGTTGTGAACTACAAGAAGCTGCTGAGCAAGCGATCGGGCAGGCAGTCGTTGGCGCAGGAGGAGGACTTCCCGTCGTCGTCGGACGACGATGGCGTCCCCGTGGAGCTGAACCCTGAGCGGTGCGAGGGAGTGAGGATGGTGGAGGGAGAGGAGGACAGTATCAATAAGTGGGAGGCGTACCTCGCTATCGATGGCAGGGAGTACACGCTGGGCAGGTTTGCAGTGCTGAAGGAGGCAGCAAGGGCGTGGGACATGGCGGCTATCCGGCTGCTGCCGAAGGGCACCAGGCACAACCTGCCTGACTCGCGCGAGTTCAAACCTGAGAAGGAGCTGTTCAAGACCCTGAAGGAGATCAAGGAGAAGGCGAAGCGGCTGCGGCAGAGGGAGAGGGAGAGGGAGGCAAAGAGGAGCAAGGAGGGGGAGAGGAGGAAGGTTGTTGAAGTTGAGAACGTGAGGAGGAACGAGAAGCGGAACTGCACGCTGCAGCAGCAGGCTTCTCCTGGGAAGTGCAGGGAAAGTTTGGGGGCAGCGGACGAGCAGCGGAGCAGGAGAACGAAGAGGCCGCTGAGCTTCGAGGGGGAGGAGAAGGAGGTGGAGAAGAAGGAGAGCAGGAGGAAAGTAAAGCGCGAGGAGGGGGAGGAGGAGACCAGTCGGGGAGGAGGAAAAGAAGGACGAGGGAAGCGGGGTGAAAGAGAGGGTGCAGCAGCATCAGCAGCAGCAGCGGATGCGGATGCGGATGCGGATGCGGAAACAGCAGAATCAGCAACTGCAGCTACAGGAGCGACAGAAACAGCAGGGGAACGGGAAGTAGAAGGAGCAGCAAATGGTGCTGTCAAAAAGAAATCGCCACAAAAAGGCAAGAAGCACTGGAAGAAGAAAAAGAAACAGAGCAAGAGCAAGAGGGAGGAGGAGGAGGAGGAGGAGGAGGAGGGCAAGGAGAAGAAAGCGAATGATGATGATGATGAGGAGGAGCAGGGCAAAGGAGCAGGGGGAGGAGGAGGAGGTTGTGAACCCAAAGTCTCCCAAGCAGCAGCCCATCTCTATCCTCTCCACTTCCTCTCCAATCCCAGCCACTCCCTCGGCCTCTACCTCGGTGGACCTGAGCAGCAAGAGGTCCAACAGAAAAGCAGCAGAAGGACTTGAAGTCTCCTCCTCCATCCTCCCTGCCGACAGAGCTGACACCTGCCCCCGATG